TAAACACAACGAGGCCGCTTTTCCATATTTTCGCCCGGTGTTTGGCCTTGCAAATGCGAAAGGAAAGGTCCGGAGGGAGGAGTTTTGCGTTGCGTAGGAAACACCATTGTTGTGTCGCCACCCGACCAATCCAGCCCAACTTTGTAGATCTTTGGATGATCTAAGTGCCGATGTGTTCACACGGCAAAGCATTTTGTATGGTTTACAGAGACAAGACGACGCGCCTCGGAATTCAGCCCTCACACCGACCCTCTGGGTTAGAATTTTCGGGTAAGCTTCGCCCGCGCAGCACATTCTCACAGACTGGCTTGCAAGACACACAAACAGCAGGACACACAACAAGCACCAATGCCGAGAATGCGGTTATCGAGTAAAGCAAGACACGGCGGCTGACGCCCAGCCGGATCTCACGATGCAAGCCACCCATCCCCTGCGCTCCTGAAATGCGATCCACTGCTGGTGGAGACGGAGAGCCGGCTGGTGCGGCGAACACCTGATCCTAGTGTATTGTGTAGTCATCATCATCATCATCATCCTCAGTCGAGAGGCAGTGAATGCATCATCGAAATGCTCTGGAAGGTTTCTGAGACCAGGGTTGTAGTGCCGGGAGCAGAAGCGAGAACGTTCTCTCACGGCGTGTCCGCTGTGCAGAATCTGCATGACCCAGCCAGAGCCCATCCCCGATTGCCCGAGAGGGTCGCATACGATGGAAGGTTGCGTTCCAGAGATCTTGTTTATTTTGAGCCACTTTCCTGGAACTGCGATCCAATGCCTGCTTCGGCTTGGACCGCGCCCCTGCCAATCAAGTGGGGTGCGTTCGAGGACGGGCACAGTTGAGGGCGGGCCAAGTTCGTATGGAGAAGTTGCGCACTTGGCAGTTGTCGCTTTCCAAGTAACAGGGATTCGCCCTCGGAAAAAAACAATCCACTGCCCCTTTCCTCAGCCTGGGCTCGCCTTAGCAAAGCCCACCCACCCCCTAGCGCGTGCAAGCAAAGCAGTGTTGGGACGGAATCGCTGGGCCAGGAGAGTGCATTCAATCCCATCGCCCAGACGACTCCCAGTCCCCGCCGCCAAACATTTTGTCACACGCTCGCTGCCTGTGTCTTTCGTTCAGACACTCGTTTTAGTCGCTTTTTTTGCACATCCCCCAGATAACCTTCGTTTTTTTTTTGGCATCTTTCTCCCACGATCAGTCTTATTTTAATTTTTTTATTAGCTTCCGAGACCGAGATTGCGGCAGTCAAGGCCCGTGCCGCCGTCGTCAACGGGTCCCGGAACTAACCAGTGGCTTGCTTCGTCTGTCCCTTAGGGAGAATTCCCCCGTGTCGAAAGACACCAGCCAGACATTCAGAAAGTCCAGACACCAGAAACTCCTCTCTCGCTGTCTGGTGATACACTGTTCGGAAACCATTGATACTCGGGCGTTGACCACGGCCAACTCCCGGCCGCGCTGTCCACCATGGCCCTCAACCTTCCGCCGCTAGGCGCGAACAACGGCGGAGGGGCCCATACCCAGCCCTCGCTGCCTTCGCTGCCAGCCCATTCTCAGTCCGATACGCAGTTGACAGCACATCTCGCCAGCCGCTTCCATGTTTCGATCCCGACCGCACGCCTCTCGTCCCACGCGCTTATCCTAACCAACACGTACACGAGCTCAACTAAGGGCGATGGCTCTAGGGATTCATCCGCCCAGTCCGCGGCCGAAGACATGGCGGAGAGGGCCTACCTCCGGATGGGGCACCGTTTAGAAAACCAGGCTGTCCTCTTTCTGTATGACCGTCCCTAGACTTGAAAGGTTGGTGTGATATCCATCGCCGAGACTAACTGGTTCGGTAGTGGTGAATCCGGCTCAGGGAAAACGACGGTGCGCGCTCACCTCTTGACTTCGTTGCTCAACCGCTCCTCCACTCCTCTTTCGGCCAAGGTGTCCCTGGCTGCGTACGTCTTTGATACCCTCACTACCACCAAAACCGCCACGACGCCCACGGCCTCCAAGGCCGGTCTCTTTTATGAGCTCCAATACGACACGGCATCGTCAACGAGCCCCGTCCTCCTCGGCGCCAAGCTACTAGATCATCGGTTGGAGCGGAGCAGGATAACGGATGTTCCCACGGGTGAACGTAACTTCCACGTGCTGTACTACCTACTGTCAGGTACAAGTGCTGCCGAGAAAGCTCATTTGGGGTTTGACGGCCCCGACAAGCGGTGGAAGTATCTGGGCCATCCCACCCAGCTCAAGGTGGGAATTAATGACGCCGAAGGGTTCCAGCTCTTCAAGACGGCGCTGCGGAAACTCGAGTTCCCCCGTAGCGAGATTGCCGAGATCTGCCAGATCCTAGCCGGCATCTTGCACATTGGTCAGCTAGAGTTTGAGACAACCTCTAGCACAACCGCAACGGGGGACGATAGTGGTGGCTTCTCGCACGAAGGCGCCCAAACTACCACGACGGTGAAGAACAAGGATGTGCTCGGCATCATTGCCGCTTTTCTGGGCGTCGGTGCTTCTGAGCTCCAGACAACGCTGGGCTACAAGACCAAGATGATTCACAAGGAGAGGGTGACAGTCTTGCTCGACCCAGCTGGCGCGCGGGGGAACGCAAATGAGCTCGCCCGGACCCTCTACTCCCTTCTCGTTGCCTACGTGATCGAGAGCATCAACCAAAAGCTGTGCGCTCCCGAAGACACGATTGCCAACACCATCTCTATCGTGGACTTCCCTGGTTTCCAGCAGCAGAGTTCGACCGACTCGACTCTCGATCAGCTCCTGGCCAATGCCGCCACTGAGTCCCTCTACAACCTGACGCTGAAGAACTTCTTCGACCGCAAGGCCGAGATGCTCGAGACAGAGGAGGTTGCCGTGCCCGCGACCAGCTATTTTGACAACTCGGATGCCGTCAAGGGTATGCTGAAGCCAGGCAACGGCCTGCTCAGCATCTTGGACGATCAGACCCGCCGTCACCGTACCGACATGCAACTCCTGGAGAGCCTGCGCAAGCGCTTCGAGGGGAAAAACCCTGCCATCAGCGTTGGTGCGGCCACCGCCAAACTACCCGGCAGCAACTTCTTCACCGAAAACAGCGCCGCTACCTTCACCGTCAAGCACTATGCCGGCGAGGTGGAGTACCCCGTCAAGGGGCTCGTTGAGGAAAACGGCGAGGTCATCTCGGGCGACCTGATGAACCTGATCAACTCGAGCAAGAGCTCTTTCGTCGCTCGTCTCTTTGGGCAGGAGGTTCTCAAGACCGTCGTTCACCCGCAAGAGCGGACAACGGTTATGCAGGCCTCCGTCAGCTCCCGGCCCATGCGCGCGCCCAGCATCATGTCGAGGCGCGGGCGGCCCTCGGCCGCTCTCCAGGCCCGCCAGCAGCGGGCTATGGAGAAGGACGTATCGGACCAAGGCAGCGATGCCGGCGAGGGCAAGGGACCCGGCGGCATGCGCGTCTCCGAACAGGGTGCGTCTGGTCAATTTCTCTCGGCGCTCGAAAACGTTACGAGGTCTGTCACGGCACCGGGCACGAACTGCTACTTCGTTTTCTGCCTCAAGCCGAACGATAGGCGCATCGCGAACCAATTTGACAGCAAGTGCGTGCGGGCGCAATTGCAAACATTCGGTATTGCTGAGATCAGCCAACGCCTGCGGTCCGCCGACTTCAGCTTGTTTCTGCCATTTGGCGAATTCCTGGGCCTGGCGGATGCCGAGACCGTGCTCGTAGGCAGCGAGCGCGAAAAGGTGGAGATGGTGGTCGAGGAAAAGCGATGGCCCAGCAACGAGGTTGCCATCGGTGCCACCGGCGTCTTCCTCAGCGAGCGTTGCTGGATGGAGATCGCACAGCTGGGCGATAACCTCTCCCAGTCCGGTCGGTACGGGCTCCCCTCGGACGCGGGGGATGGCACGGGCACTCCCGCGGATCCCTTTGGCGTGTCCAAGGAACGCCTGCTTATGTCTGGCGGCGCCACGCCGGCCAGCTTCAACGGCGAGAAGAAGGGTGCCTACTTCAGCAGCAACGAAGTTGACGCGCGCTCCGAGGCCGGTGTGTCGGCGTTCGGGGCCGGCGACATGTTCCAGAACCTGGATACACGCCAGCAGATGGCCGAGCGCGGCAACGAGAAGGACATGCAGGAGGTCGAGGAGTACAAGGACAGCCCCAGCCGCAAGCGTTGGGTCTTCATGGTGTACATTCTGACCTTCTTCGTTCCCGAGTTTTTGATCCGCAAGCTTGGGCGCATGCCCCGCAAGGATGTCCGTATGGCATGGCGTGAGAAGCTAGCCATCAACATGATCATCTGGTTCAGTGCTTGGTCGCGCCTTCTTTATCGTCGTCTTCCCCATGCTGATCTGCCCGAAACAATACGTCTACAGTCCGGAGGAGATGTCCCACTACGACGAGGAAGGACGGCCGCAGCGCCTATGCTTCTATCCGCGGCCAGATCTTTGACCTTGGCGCATTCACGCCCCGCCACTACCCCAGGTACTTGTCGCAGAAGATGCTTACCCAGTACGGCGGCTTGGACATCACCTCGCTCTTCCCCGTGCAGGTGTCGGCTCTCTGCCAGGGTCAGCACGGCTCAATCGACCCGGCTGTTCTGCTCGACTACAAGAACACCAACATCACCGGGTCCGCGGCCGTCATCAGCAGCCAGGACAGGAACGCAAAGTATCACGATTTCCGCCACTTCACCAACGACAGCCGGCCGGATTGGTTCTCGCAGAGAATGAAGATGCTGAGGGCCAACTACAAGGTCGGCAACATTGGCTACTCGGCCGAGTACGTGCGTACTCTTAGTACGAAGGCGCAGGTCATCGCCATCCTCAACGGCCGCGTCTACGACATGACCACCTACACACAGAACGGCCGGCGGCAGATGAACCCACCATGGGAGGACCCCCCGACAGACCCGGATGCGGTGAACTTCATGCATCCCCTCGTAGTCGACCTCTTCCTGCAAAGATCCGGTGACGATATCACCTCGCTCTGGGAGTCACTAGGTATTGACAGAGCCCAAAAGAAAGCCATGCAGCTATGTCTCGACAATCTCTTCTACGTCGCCGACGTCGACACGCGTTCTTCTGCAAAGTGCAAGTTTGCCGAATATTTGGTACTGTCAATATCTATCCTTCTTGCTAGCGTCATCGGCTTCAAATTCTTCGCTGCCCTCCAGTTTGGCACCAAGAATATGCCTGAGAATCTGGACAAGTTCGTCATGTGCCAGATTCCTGCCTACACAGAAGACGAGGAGTCCATTCGCCGCGCCGTCGACTCGGCCGCGCGCATGCAGTACGACGACAAACGCAAACTTTTGGTCGTTATCTGCGACGGTATGATTATTGGTCAGGGCAACGATCGCCCAACGCCGCGCATTGTGCTCGATATCCTGGGCGTGTCCGAAACTATCGATCCCGAACCCCTGAGCTTCGAGTCGCTCGGCGAGGGTCAGAAGCAACACAACATGGGCAAAGTGTACTCGGGTCTATACGAGGTGCAAGGACACATCGTACCCTTCCTTGTCGTGGTCAAGGTCGGCAAGCCGTCCGAGGTCTCCCGCCCGGGTAACCGTGGCAAGCGTGACTCGCAGATGATCCTGATGCGCTTCCTCAACCGCGTGCACTACAACCTCCCCATGAGCCCGCTCGAACTTGAAATCTACCACCAGATCCGCAACATCATTGGCGTAAACCCGACCTTCTACGAATATCTCTTCCAGATCGACGCCGACACCGTTGTTGCGCCTGATTCGGCTACACGCATGGTCTCAGCCTTCCTCGACGATACCCGCCTGATCGCTGTGTGCGGTGAGACGGCTCTGACCAACGCCAAGGCATCGTTTGTCACCATGATTCAGGTGTACGAATACTACATCTCGCACAACCTGTCCAAGGCCTTCGAGTCCCTCTTCGGTTCCGTCACCTGCTTGCCCGGTTGTTTCTCCATGTACCGCATCCGCGCTGCGGAGACGGGCAAGCCACTGTTCGTCAGCCGCGAAATCGTTGAGGCGTACTCAACCATCCGCGTCGACACGCTCCACATGAAGAACCTGTTGCACCTGGGTGAAGATCGTTACCTGACGACGCTGCTGCTCAAGTTCCACAACAAGTACAAGACCAAGTATATTTTCCGCGCCCATGCTTGGACTATCGCTCCCGACTCGTGGCAGGTGTTCCTCTCGCAGCGCCGCCGCTGGATCAACTCGACCGTGCACAACCTGATGGAACTCATCCCCTTGAACCAGCTGTGCGGTTTCTGCTGCTTCAGCATGCGCTTCATCGTCTTTGTCGACCTTCTCTCCACCATCGTCCAGCCCGTTACCATCGCCTACATCGTCTATCTTATCGTTATGGTCGCCCAGAACGCGACTGTCGTCCCGATCACGGCGTTCGTCCTCCTAGGTGCTATCTACGGTCTGCAAGCTATCATCTTCATTCTGCGCCGCAAATGGGAGATGATCGGCTGGATGATCCTGTATGTTCTGGCGGTGCCCGTCTTCAGTTTCGCCCTGCCGCTGTACTCGTTCTGGCACATGGACGACTTCAACTGGGGTAACACGCGTGTGGTGGCCGGCGAAAAGGGCCAGAAGATTGTCATCTCGGACGAGGGCAAGTTCGACCCCGCCAGCATCCCGCGTAAGAAGTGGGAGGAATACCAGGCCGAGCTGTGGGAGGCCCAGACCCAGGCCGGCGGCCTGCACGACGACACTCGCTCCGAGATGTCTGGCTACTCGTACGCCACCCGGCCCAACATCCCCATGTCCGAATACGGCGGCTACACCCCCAGCCGCCCAGGGTCCATGACGGGATACCCGGGCATGCCGACGGCGCCGAGCCGCATGTCGCTGGCCGCGTCGGAGATGCTCGGCAACAACAACCGGCAGAGCCAGTTTGGCGGGTCGCAGTTCCTGGGCCACTCGCAGTCGCAGCAGGAGTTGGAGATGGCGAACCTCGCGGGCCTGCCCAGCGACGACGCGCTCCTGGCCGAGATTAGGGAGATCCTGCGCACCGCCGACCTCATGACCGTCACCAAGAAGGGTGTCAAGCTGGAGCTGGAGAAGCGCTTTGGTGTGCCGCTGGATTTTAGGAGGGCTTATATTAATAGCGGTGAGTTTTAACCCCTCTTCTAGAATTTAGATTTGGTGTGATAGATGGCTGACTTTTTTTCGTGTTTGCAGCAACCGAAGCGATTCTCTCTGGACAACTGTAGTAGACTGCATGGCTTTGGTGTTTTTTGCCCCAGTTTTGGGGGGGTTGGGTTTTCCTTGTATTTTCCTTTTTTTTTAGCTTCACGGTCTGGTTTCCGGCAGCACTCATCGACCCCGATTGACTACCTACTGAGTACTAGCTTGGTTTTTCTGACTTTTTGACTAATATAATGCTTGCATTGTTCTGCTGGAGGGTGCTGAGCTCACGCTGGGGGGAGGGTCGCAAAAAGAGAGAGAGAATCGATGTGTTTTCAGGTTGTTTGTTGTCGCAGATGGTGGTGAGCTGTCGAAGTTGTCGAATGTGTGTCGGTCCTGTTTTCCCACCGGTCTGTCTTAGGTACGTGTGTCTCTGTCGAGGTGGAACAAAGCATTAGGAATAGTTTTGGGTATTTTTATATTGGGGGGAATTTATCTATAGACATTATAATGATATGACATGAACCCTATATTGGACTTGGGGCCAGTAGTTGGTGAGAACCGATGTGGAGACAACGATATTATGTCTTTTGATCTGAATTGCTTGCGAGAGGTTCTCTGTTCTTTTACTTTAATACCTCGCCTCCTTCCTTCTCATCCCTCTTTCCTTTCTTTCCATCCGTTACTCAGTCGCAATCTGCTAAATATTCGCATTTAACTTCAAATAGGAATGAGATACATATAACCAATAATGGCTTGCTACTTCCCCCTTAAATATTTAACAACCGTGGTCTCTACTTCCACAGCCCTTCTTATAACCTAAACAAATCGTTCCATACCTAAGGAAAATAAAAAAGAGCAAACAACATAAATGAACGGGGCAAGTAAAAAAAGAGGAGTCACCTCAAAAAAAATGACATCGCTCCAGACAAAACAAGAGCAAAAGCATATGACAAGGGTGAGATTCGAACTCACGCCCCTTTCGAGACCACGGATTCTGATTAAGGGTTGAACACCTTAACGTGGCGCCTTAGACCGCTCGGCCACCTTGCCGTTTGTTTGGATGCTGGTCGGGATCGGAATTTCGCTGCTTGAGCGAGGGCGGCGTGGGGTTGCGCGCACACAACGAATACCCCTCCTACCCCCTATTTTAGAACTGAGACCCCATTTTGGGTTTATTGTCTTTTTTGATGCAATCAAGAAAACATATCCATTCGATAATATTTCAATGCCTTTACTATTTCAATTCCACAACTCCACCTGCATATTCGCGACTATTTCATCTCACCGCCCCCCCCCCCGCCTCCCCCTCTGTCCCCTACCTCCGACCATCCCCTTCCCTTCCAGTCTCCCCTTTCCTCCCTCCACAGACAATATTCACTCACACCCCCTTCCGCGCAGCGCCAACCTCCTCTCCCCAACGGCAGCACGTCGGGCAGGGGTCCCAGCGGGGTGATGGAGAGCGGGTTGATCTGGGTGTGGGAACGCGTGTAGTGGTTCTTGATGTGCAGGAAGTTGGTCGTGTCGCGGAAGGCCGGCAGGTCCCAGTACAGGTGGCGCATCCAGCCGTGCAGGGCGGGATAGCCGGAGCGGATGTCGCGGATGTTTGCACTTGAAATGTTGGAAACAAACCGGCTTGTGGGGGA